GCATGAGTTTTTTTAGCTCAGCCTATGTGAGTTTTTAAATTTTACTTTTATTTCAGTGCCCCCCCCCCCCAACTTTTTAAAAGGCCACCTTTCAGGTCCAACCGACCTTGGGGTTCACTTCAGTAGATAAGCTTGCAGTAAGCCAGCAGACAGGAAATTCTCGGCACACAGCAAATATATTTTTTAAAAAGCTTGTTTCATTTAGTCGAGTAAAAACATTCAAACGCTCAGGATGTATGCAGTGCAGAAATCATCCAACCTATGAGCAGTTGGCAGTAAAACATTTGAATACGAAAGTAAGTTAGCAATTCTTAAAAGGAAAGTTGCAACTTCTTACATGATAAGTCCTCATAGACAGTTCCGTAGTAAAGTCGCCATAGAACAGAAAAACAGTCCCATCTCCGGAGGCAGTTTATCAACTCCACACATCGGATACTGTGGTACTTCCTGGAAAGTTAATCACCCTCCCACCCCCTGGGCTGCCGCCACTCCCTCGAGATAACCGAGCTCTGCAGCTGCCGGCAATGACCCCCACCAGTTACCTTCCTCCTCCAAGGATGGATCCTGTCAAACTCATGGCCCCCTTCCAGTCATCGGGGCTTAGCAAATTAGAGGCTCGTTCAGCCCTCATCCCTTACACCACCCAAATTAAAAATCCCTGGATATGGGCCTGGGTTTCTGTATGTTGTCCATGACTTTGAGTCCATTGAGACTGAGGATATGGTGTTCGGCCATGTTAACCAAACTTTAACCAACCTTGTTTCTAGGTACAAGATCTCGTTACTGAAGCCATCTATCAAAGCGCTCACTCTGTCCTGCAAAGTATCTATTCGGACAGATAACAGGGGCTTCCTGTCGCTTCAGTACATGATCCGGAACGAGGACGGGCAGATTTGCTTCGTGGAGTACTACTGCTGCCCTGATGAGGATGTGACTGATGCGGAGATGTAGCTGCAGGATACAAACTGACCTCCCCCCTCCCCCAATATTTTTAACAAGCCGTCCGGACTAAAGATTTGTAAATGAAAGTTTTCAGAAAGGAAGACCAGGATCTATTTGGCATTTGTTTATTGTTTGAAAATGAGAAAGTTCTGGTGCAGAGATACCTGACCTGGATCTTGTCAGATCTCGGAAGCGAAGCAGGGTTGGACCTGGCTGGTATTTGGGTGGGAGACCGCCGAGAAAAAACGTCTCTTGTCTTGAAAACCCTGTGGTGCCGCCATAAGTCAGCTGTGACTGGACGGCACTTTCCACCCCAGAAATATGATAGACAGCAGCTGGGAACTTGGTGGAGAATGGGACATTTTGCAGTGCACGGCCATTGGATCCAGTGAGGCGATGCTCTTGGTACTTGAAGGGGAGGGAGCTGTGGCTGAGTGGTAGAGCAACTGCTTAGCATGCAGAAGGTCCCAGGTTCAATCCCTGGCATCTCCAGTTAAAAGGACCATGTAGCAGGTGATGTGAAAGACCTCCGCCTGAGGCCTTGGAGAGCCATTGCCTGTCTAAGGCAGCTTCATGTATAGAACCACAGAAGGCCTATTCTGCCATGGTACAGAGCAAGCACTTATCTGTCCCATAGTAATGCATTATTATTGCTGGCCCTGTGGTCACTGCTTCAGGGCATAAGCGACGGGTCCACTGCTGCAGTGTGGAAGTAGATTTGGTGGTTTGAGGGAGGGAGGGAGGGCAGATTATAGATGGGCAGATAAGCCAGGGCTATTTGTCACTACGTTCAGTTGCTACACGTAAGAGCTGGAAAGTGGCAGGACCAGTCCTGGGCCAAGCAGAAGAGGAAAGATCAATGCCGGCACATAGACATAAACTGTGGGACGCAGTCAAGAGGGTAGACATTGCAGAAGTGATAGTGGCTGATATGGTTGCTGGGTGCATCCTGGGGAAGGAGTAAGAAGAGGTGCATTCTGTCCCCAAGAGGGAGAGAGAGTACACAGGCCCCTCCCCCCCCATGATGACGAAAGAGGCGCAAACGTGGAATGAGTCATTTGTGTCATCTTCTCTCACCTCCGTCGGAGCTGGTGTTCAACAAGCCTTAAGAACGCAGACCAGCCATGGAGCACGTCTTTGCACTTGCAGCTTCTTATGTGCCTTTCAGGCTCATGCTGACACATCATGCTCACAATGCACTGAATGAAGGCTCAGCAAGGCCAAGGATGTTACACCGAGCCCACCTCCCTGGTCAAAGTGGGTGGGCTTCTCTGTAACGTCACAGTGCAATCGTGCATTGAGTGTTGTCTTGTCTCCCACGACTAGTTCAGTGAGGGCTGAGACCACCAGCGTTATTAATAAAGCGCTTGACTTTATGCCTCCTGGTGCTGCCGGGTGAGCTGTCTTGATCCTTCACATACAACAGAAGACCTGCAGCAAAAGGAATCAAGAAAGGGCTTTTTTCTCCCCTCATCTCTCTAAGCAGTTTTTCATGCATGGGCTAATACCTAAAATTAGAAATGGGGGG